TTAAACAAAAAAATCCTTTATTATTTTGCAAATAACACGTAAATATTTTATAAATATTTTATAAATACACATAAATATTTGATTAATAACCAAAAGGTTATTAATCAAAAAGCTGCTATACGAGGTCTGTTCAAAAAGTATCGCGAATTTTGTGTTTTTTCAATTGTTATTTTTTTATTCATGAATATCTATTTTGTCTCCTTCAAAGTAATCTCCATTAGATATTATACACTTGTGCTAGACTGACATGAGTACCAACATAACGCCACATTAAAATCGAAAATCGAATATACGTAACCCGCGGAAATTCAAAATCCGCGATACTTTTTGAACAGACCTCGTATATATATATACATACAATGTGTCACTGTTTGGTGCGGATTTTGGGTTTGAGGCATCATTGGACCATTCTTCTTCGAAAATGTGGCTGGTCAGGCAATAACAGTTAAGGGGCCCGAACACTGTAAACGGCGATATTTCATAAGGTTTTTATTTTATTTATTTAAAAAAAACGGATTAACCGATTTACATGTAACTTTACACATATGTTTATGAATGTTTAAATTATATGAAAAAATTTTTTTTGTTTTTTTTTTGTGGCGGCCATTGTTTTTTCTGCAGCTAATCTAAAATTGCGTCTTTTTTAAATGACCCTTGGGTGGTTGACAGCATTCCAGCAAAACGGAGCGTCCTAATACAAAAAACAAAAAAGATTCTTTAAATATATATTACTGGCTATGGCCCGACATAGGGGATTTTGAAAATTATGATTAGAAAAAAATGGCGGCTATTTAAAAAAAAAATTTTTTTTGCGTAAATTTTTGCACTAAATTGTTTATAAAAAAAGTATGGCATGTATCAAAAAACGGCTACGTCATGCTATAGCGACACGTTTCCTCTACAAAATCCGTTTTGAATCAGATCGATCGGATTAATACTGTTCGAGTTATGCTGTCAAAGCGGTCAAAAAACGTGGTTTCGAGAAAAACGCGTATTAAGTTTTGAAAGGGGTAAATCGAATGAAATAAGGTAGAAAAAAGGTCTTACGTGTTTTATTTTATTAGTCTGCTATCCCTGGACCGTATAGCAGCTCTTCGTCATCCATAGTTTGTCTTCGAAGTACTTGCTGGGCATGCAAACATCCTTCGTGCGTGTTAGCCCGTGTATGACGATTCGCGTACTTTATGCGTTCTTCGTCGATTTTTTGACAATAATCGTAGAGATTTATTCCAATGCGAACTCCCATGAGTTCTAACACACGGAGAAGAGCCGTATGACCATTATTAAATATAATAGTAGCGATATTAGCTGCAATTTGTACAGTTTTGGCTCCACTAAACGTAGATTTCGGCGCGAATTTCCAAATAATATTGTTGAAGCTTTCGTTGTTATTTTGATTGAAAGCACCTACGCATCGTTCTAGAAGATCATCACGGCTGAGATCGGTATATATAGGCTTGATAGCGTCTAAAACTTCTTTTGGTAGTGTAGGTTCGTGTTTGAAATCTTGAAGCTTCCCGAGCGCACGAGCCTTTTGCCACTGACACCAAGATTCCGGCCCTTTCGGACAGTTTTCGTGCATTGGCTTAGAATCGGTCGAGGATTTATGTAAAAACGTTGCCCATATGTCTTTTTCATTTCTTCTAAAGAGTTATTATTGCGCCTTATAGCGAACCCGTAGTAAAGGTTAAGATCCTTAACAAGTTTGTCAGTAAGCTTACCCCTACCTCCAATGCC